AAACCGGGCCGGTCCGGTACCGGTTTACCGGTCCGGTTCCAAGTATGTTTTAGAAAGTTCTTACGAAAGTTAGAAAATACTAAACGTTAACCACATTCTCTTTCTTTTACTCTGTCTTGTCACCATTTAAACAACTTTTCGAAGAGCTTCTCCTAAATTAACATCGCTCCACCGCTTTTTGCTTCATTATCACCGTAGTCCTTTGTTTTCGTCGAAGGTAATTCATAATATCGCTTTGTAAAAAATTGTAAGGTCATGATAGCCAAATCTAACAGATTCAGCCGTCAGAAGTGCACAGCAGGCACAGACAAGCTGAATGACTCTATAACTTCTCGTATATAGGACAGCTCTAGATAATGGAGACCTATTGGAGCCGCAAATCGTGATCTTCAGAAAATCATGAATCGAGTGCGTGAACAAGATATTCATGAGCCATGAGTGCTATCCCTAAGCCAAGCCCAGAAGAATACAGCAATCATATGGGAAGAGAAGTGTAACAGTTACGTGCATACTGTCAAATATCAGTCTAAAAAAAGACTGGTTATGTTAACCCGAACTTTCGAGTTTACGTCTCGAACTCGCTCTTTTTAGAGATGAGGAGTTATTGTTATCTTGTTGTTATTAATAACAATAATCTTTTCTTGTTAGTGTTATAAATAAGAAAAAAATAACGATCACAATAACAATAAATTCACACCTCTACTCTTTTATCCTAAATTATCGCATACAAGTATTCATGCTAAGTGAACAGACAATGGAAGAATTCGAAGAAAAAATAGAGCAAGCTGATCGACTGAAAACTGGTTCTAGTCTGATTCATTTGGTTTTAAGTTTAATCGTCTACGCAAGAAAAGAACAAAACAACTATATTATAGAAAACTAAATATGGACTTTAATTTGATTGGTTAATTTTTCTATAAGAGGTGAACCACATTTCTTTGGCTAGTGTGTTTGGTTCACTTCCTATGACCGCTGTTGGTAGTACATAGAGAACAGATGTTTTTCTAAGAAAAATGATGATAAAATTCGCTGTGTAGAGTAATCTTCCACAATACGAATAATAGTTTAAATTATTACACGATTAGAACGTCGTGCCTGAAGAAGTACTGATCAAACTGAATAAATACTTACAGGAAAACATAATCAATAATATTTTGCTTTATAATAATTGACATACGAAATTATAATGACAGACAATTAATAAAATGCTTTAAATAATAACAGTACTCTAACAAGCTGAGAACGCATTCCTGATGATATATTAGAAAAGAAGAAGGTACTAGTGACATAATGATATGAATTTAGATGGGGTAAAGAACTACTGAAGACTGGGTACCAGTTATGACTGGATTCCAGTCTGACCGATACCCAGTTCAACCAGTACCCAGTTAACTGGGACTGGTGCATCCCTAATTTAAAAATAGCGGATAATATTCAAAAAGATGTGAAAGATAAATTTGGTAAGAATTCGATTTTACGAATGGCATTTGTTGCTTATCGTGATTATACAAATGCTGAACGTTTCGATGTGATTGATTTTCATCAAGCACCAAATCTTGATCTAGTTCGAAACAAAATTGAAAGTGAAAAACCCATTGCAAATGATGATGTATGTGAAGATGTTCAAGGTGGTTTAGAAAAAGCATTAGGATTAAGTTGGACACGAACTCCAGTAAGAGCTAAATGATTTTCGATTATTTCTAGAAGGATAAATAATTATTTGATATTTTAGGAAAATCATTCATCCATTCGAAATAAAGATAAATCTTCGTGTGCAGCACAAATGATCATTTGGGTTGGTGATTGCCCTGGACATACAGCATTTTGTCATGATAAAGGCACTACTTGGGATAAACATTTAACTGGTTTGCCTGATGTTCGACCGATGAAAGAAATAATCATGGAAATAAAAGATCGTGGTATTTTTCTTTTATTATCCAAATTTACAAAACATGTTGACTTTATTTTTAAAAATATTGAAAAAATTTTTAAAGATGATAACAAAAACAATCAAGTGAAGCGTATTTCATTGAATCCTGAAGATACAACATCATTTCTTAATCAAATTTCACAACATATTAACACAATCATTGCAACTGAATTTATGTAATCGAACAGAACTTATTCATTTTAATCCGTGCATTTCTATAATTTTATATTAACCAAAATTTTCTCTTTGATCGAATAAATAAACAGACATATTCACTTTTCGAAAATCCAAAAAGAAACTATACAGATTTTCAGCTATTCAAAGAATTTTTATTTCAGTATTATAAACGAAAAAAAAAGAAAGAACAACTATCTACTGTGAAAAAAAAATTAAACGTCATTTATTTTTCTTCAATAGTCTTTGTTTCGGGTTTTGGATAAAAATGAATATATGCATCGATGGTAAATTTCGAACGTTGTTCTACATAATTTCGATAAATATCTTCTTTTTCAGCTATTTCATGATGACAATCATTAATTTGAAGTTGTTTCTCTAAGATCTTTGGTTGAATATCGATTAGTTTTCGTGCAAAATCGCATAAGTCTTTATAAACAATTTTGAAGTTAGATGAAATTTGATTTAATTCAGGTTCGATATTCATAAATTCATTCTCTAATTGTTTGACATGTTCGTTAATTGTTGAAATTCTTTTTTTAACAAATTCAATTTCACCTTTTGTATACTTAATATCACTGCTTGATCGATTTTCTTCATCAATATTTTGTTGAAGATTGTGAATGTTTGCGCGAACATTTTGACTTTCTTCTTCATTCTTATTTAGTTTGTTTTTCAATGGTTCCAAATCATCTCGACGTTTCTTTTGTTGAGTTTTGACTAATTCGATTTGCTTTTTAAGTCGATATTCAGTCAATTGACAATTTAT